ACGTCCATCGCAAAAATTTGAGTGAGTTTAACATTTTGAAATTCGTTGGTTGAAAATTATGATTGATTTTGATTGCATATCTCTGAAATGAGACTGTGCCAGATTATGTGTATATTCTCGTGCTAATGGTCTCATTTGATAGATTCACTGATATATCTGTATTTGTCAGATAGTTGACAGTGGATTGAAGGAAAATTTTAGAAGTGATAGAAATGTATTGGGAGATCAATGTTGTGTTGTATTCATTATTATGATTTCACTGTGTATTTGTGTTTGATTCATTCTTATCAAGCGAATTCTTAACAAGTATTCAATTCATTATTGGTGTTGAAGTCATCAATTCAATTCTGATTCATCAAAGTTGGGTGACGCTTTAGGTGATGAGAATTTGACTTGAGTGAATCATATTGAATCACTGAACACACCGAACTTCTGGTATTGAATACTGACGACGATAAGTCAACAATACTGAATGATGAATGCGAAATTGATTGAATGTTCATAAAAATTGTTTGACAAGCGCTATCCACTAAACAATTTTCCGAAACTGAATAATTAATGAATTACAGCAAATATATGAAATATTTTTATCATTCGCATTTCGCATCATTTCCATTCGTAAATCAGAAAAAGATCGTCGAAATTCGTTAGTTCTCTTGACTAACGTCCGCCACCTTGCACTGATCAGCGGTATTGTAGGCTGAACCAGAGAACTCAGTGTGAATCACTTGGAAAACTTTTCAAAGTCAAAATTCATGAGATCCATTGGAATCGTTCAAGAAAGAGTTTTACGCGTCATGATCGATTAATGAAAAAAGAAAACGACATTTTTTTCGTGTAGCAATTTCTTGAAGATTGAATGGTGTTCAAAAGAGAACAAACCGCTGACGTATTTTCGTGGTATCCGTTCTCTTGAAAAAATGAAAAACGATTTACTCATTGCTTAACGATCTGTATGCATTGTGATAGTGAGGAGTGCATTTTAAAATGCCGCAGTTCAATCCAACGATAAGAAATATAAGAAACGCACACAATCGTTTCAATCCGCTCATACGCTGTGAATCATAAATTACATTTAAACGAGTTTGATGAATTACTTCAAGTCGGATACCACTGTGTGCCAGAATCTTTCTTTTTTGTGCAGCGTTTGCTTAAGATCTACCGCCGCCTTAAGATCGAAGATTCTTGTCAAGCTGAGTTACGATCAGATCCACTTATAATCCAACAATGAGATATCATCATCACGAGAAAATCATCAATCGGAAATCGTTTCAGCCTCAGGATAAAAGCCACAGTAGCGTATATCCGAAGCAAGATAAAATCTGGTGAAAACGCTCGTTCATCGCCAACAAAAGTGGACGCACTCGAATGGCAACAATCCTTTCAGAATTTACTCCAAAATAAACGTTGGCCATTTATATGATCGTAATGCAAATTATTCGAATTTTTCTTCAAATATCAAAATGGAATTAAAAAAATTGAATTGATCTAATGAATGACTTTAAGTTTTTTTGAAAAAAAATAGACATTACGATCGGAGAAATGATTTATTTGTTCTATTGGTGATATGTTCACGATGGCCAAATGCACAACCAAGCATCGGAGGTAGACGGGATAAGATGTGCAATGGGATAAGATGAATCATCCAACAGTACAGAGAAATATTCCATTTTAACATGTATATGTCATATCCGTGTACATACATCTATCATGTCTTATACATAAACAGTTAAATTACTAAGCGAAAGGTTGACCGATATAGCATTTTCCTTTCTGGAACGAAACGAAACGAAAAGCAATAAATACAACAAATTGGTTTCTTTTTGTTGCAGTTGGTCGTCAGTTATTTCGAATGTTTTTGGTGCATGAGTTCAGTGAGGAGAATATCGACTTTTGGACTGAATGTGAGGAATATTCGAAGATGAAAGCCGGCAAAAAACAAACGGAACAACGCGCCCGAGATATTTACAATAAGTATTTGGCCGTTCAAGCATGGCGAGAAGTTAGTTGTTGATTTCATTCGCATCATTCATTTGCGTTGTTCCTCTTTTGCTGTTTCCATACACATGCGTGTTGGAAGATTTCTTAGCCGAACGGATTGTATGGACTGCCCGGGCGCTCGTTTCTTTTGCTGCATATATCTGATCTGTTTGGATGATCAGTGCTGTTCGTCTCTCATCATTAAAGGAGGAACTAAAAGATCACGTGATTAAAGTGATCATATGAAAATGTGATCATATGAAAATCCGCTCAAACATGATGGATATGTTCATCTGTAAGCACAAAAAGCAGTCATGCTAAGCATTTGCCCAAAACTGCGAAATACTACTGGTCTCTTCGCAGAAATCTTTGTGATGATATTATCGTTTGAAACGATGTCGTATCGAAGTGAATGATTAATGAAATTCGAGAAATGCTGACAGCAGAACGTCCTCACAAAAATCCACCTTCCTGAGGTTTACGATGAGATTTCAGGTGAATTTAGATACGATCACTCGTATGAAGACAAAAGCAGCAATTGGTGAGGGTGCAGGGCCGGAAACCTTTCTGGTGGCACAAAAGAAAATCGAATGTTTGATGGAGAAGGACAGTTATCGACGATTTCTGAAATCGAAACTCTTTACGGATATTTTTGTGGAAACCGATAAATGCTCTCCAACGAATAGCGTCTCGAAATGTGAAATTGTCGGTGATTTATAGTTGACTTGATGTGTGAATTTCCTCTGAAGTGTTCATTTCGTTCCGATTGATGTGAATCTTCAAGTAGTCCGAACTCTGTGCTCCCGTCCAAATGTCTGAACATTTCTTCATTGTCAATATTCCACTTGAAGATGGTCATGATAGTAGAGTCATGAAACGGGTAATCCAACTCAAATCAATCGTTTCTAAACAGCTATTTGCTGTTCAGCTCAAGTTGACTGAAACTTAACTGGGCATCGAACTCAGATTTTTGTGAGACTCAACTAGATTGGATTCGAGTCGTCGTTAGAGCTGTAGGGGTTTCGATTAAGGTGCTTTTTTGTGCGTATCTTTATTGAAACAGTTCATTGAAACGTAGAAATGTGATGAGCAAAGTACTGCGTGCTTATCATGTAACGGAAATTGCCTTTGACGTGTTCGGCCGATAAGCTCTCAGCACATTTTCCGATAGCGTACACAGACCTTCGCACTGCTATGTTCTCTTCAGAAGGGCAACTTGCCTCTATCGTTGTCAGTCGATAATGTTGTCAGTATTGTTATCACGCTGATATATACACATATATGTAAACAGTACATCACACCATCCATCATAATCATGAGCTGAGATCACATGTTTCTGATGGATACCGTCCACCTGATGATGCTTTCTTAAGTCATCCCATTGATTATTCAGCTCAATTGCGAGCTGATAAATTTGGATTTATTACTCTAAACTCATAACTAACCAAAGCATATTCCGGAAATCCGGGAACGTATTAGCCCGGCTGGATCTTTCCAGTGGTTAAGCAAGCAGTAAACCCAAGTTCCTAACTGTAGTTCGCAACTTTTATTGAACAACAGTATTGTGCACATTTTGCGATAGAAACCATGCGAATATTGTTGTTGTCTTATCAATGCTGCCTTGTCAAAACAGATGATTTCCGTATGAAATCACGGAGGAACACAATTCTGGATTGCTTGCTCTCCACACTCATACTTCTCTACATAATTTTTTGTTTATTCGAGAGAATACTTATCTGATTTTGCTTGATACTTAATTGTACATACAATGCAATGATGTGAATGATCTATACCTTACGTTTTGTTTCTTTGAATTTCTCT